TTATTATAATAAGATTTAACAAAATCCATCTTGGAGTGTACAATAAAGCCGACACTTGGGCTTGACTTAGACTGAGAATAAATTAAAACTAAGATTAAGAGAGATATAGCCGAAGCTATAAAGATTCTAATCGAGTTGGCCTCATAACTCTATTTGACTCGGAGCTTATCAAGCTTGAGCGCGTGAGCGTAATAACCTTTGAGAGAGAGAGTAGCAAAACGCAGACGCGCGCAAATCAGAAACTCTTGATTCTCTCTAACTCAGCAGTAGAACTTCGCGGTTTAAATACCGGTTCTGCTCATTAAGTATTCAAGTGTTCCAAAACTACGTTCTGGCCGGAAGTAGTAAGTTGAAGTTAAGAATTTGGCAGCAAAGGAACTTTAACTTAAAATTTAACTGTTAATAAAATTAACATAATTCTTACACTTTCTTTCTTTTTTTATTGCGTTCCACCGTAAAATGTCTCTGTACAAATCTTAATATATGGTATACGCAAATTAATATTAATGGTTGTTAATTTTAGTGTTCTATGAAGAAGTATTCAGCCGATGGTTACTGTTATCTTCAAACTAGTTATTGTTATTTTCTGAAGTTTGGAATAAATGGATGCAAAAAGGAATTTAATTTATAATGTTAATACTTCATACAAAAGTCTACATATATGAATAATGATCTGTCGTGTTTTTGTTAAATTAGAAAATCTGAAAGAAACCATTACGAGAAGTCTTCAGCTTTGCTGAATTGGTGGACCGAAGTAAGTCAGATTTCACCTACTGGGAATTTCCTTCGTGGGTACAAATGGAAACCATCTACTATTTGGCATCTGCTAAGCATCCGGAACGCAAGAACACGAAATAGGAGAGTCATAATAAAAGACGTCGAGCAAACACAAACGCACGATAAGGCTTTAAGACGCTCGTAAACATGGGGGACGGGTACGAATATGTCGCAATCCCCGCGCACTAAGATTTTCGCACTCTCATCTACTCCAATAACCGTTCTTTTCTAGGTGGCGATATCTCTTCTCTTTGTCTTACGATTTCGGTTCTAGACGCAAGGGGTGAGATACATAAAAGTTTTTCGGGAGAGATATGCTCATTTGTGGCCAGTTCAAACACTATTCGTTTTGATTACCAACAACTAGAAACCAGTAGAAGCCCTATTATTGCTGGGATTTATGAGATGAGGGTAAAAAGTGGGAGGAAGGAAGTAAAAAAAAGCCATGGAGATATAAATCTAATTGCAGCTGTATCTCGTCTGTGCATTCGTACTGGCTAGTAATACAAAAAATGAATAAATTTTGTGCTAAACTTAGACTAGAAATTTTACTCTGTGCTTTTGATTAAAAAAAAATCTTGTTGTGAAAACTCCTTATAACACAGGTATATATTCGACTTTCAAATGTAAATGAGTGCAGCGCTGGCTTTACCTCCGCTGAACTCAACCACACCTGAGGTATGTTGAAAAGGTTTTGTTCAAAAGATTTCCCTTGACTTTGATGATCGTTTTGGACTTATCCTTATCGATAGATTGCCGAAAGATAGCACATTCTCGTGAATTCTGTTCGATGCTACGAAACACTGAAGAGTCTGAGAAAGTCGGTCCAAATTGTATTTCGAGGCATCGTTCATTTGCTGGAAGATCTAAGAGTGCGTATCTTAACCTTAAAATCACACACTTTAGAAACATCCGAGAGTTCCCGCTCAGATGTGATACCTTTCCTCCGTCTTGTGATTTTCTCGTATTTGGAGAAAGAGGTCACAAGAGGAAGCGCTTTATATTGCATATCGAAATGCAGAATGCGTTTTCTTAGAATAAGGAATTAAATAAATTCTGTAGCTTAAATATGTGCAATATGGCGGGGAAAATGTCTTTGTTTACTTATACTATATGTATGAATATTAATAAAATTTGTTAAGAAACGTTTCAAAATAACTTGAAACATATATATTGTTTTGGCAGTGTTTCTGTCTTTTGAATTGATAAGCCAAACGGATGATTAATCCTATAAGGCAAGATCTAATTGGTAATGGTTTGTTAGGTATTTTAAGGTTAATGTGGCACAGCATGAAAAATAGTAAGTTATTGACCTGTCGAACATAAAAAGAAAAATCACACCGAAATAGCCAGTCTTTCATTTGTAATAAGCCCTTTTAAACCTGGCATCTTGTAAATATATTCCCTGAAATTTGTCAATAGTTTCACTTGAGTAGGTAATGCAAGTTACGTGTCAAACGTTTCAATTAAAAAAAGGTGGTAATAAAAGGAAAGGAAGAATTAGTTTAGAGTGAATTCTTTAGACATCAATTATAAATTAAACTTTCTCATTAGTTTCCTTTACTTAATCAATAACAAAAGTATAAAATGTTTCAAAACATTTAGAAATACATCAAATGAAATAAAAGTTTGTAATAACAGATACCTAAGAAAGAATATAATGCGAACTAATATATTTATCTAATAAAAAGTAGTATAATAATAGATGTATGTATGTATATATTAACAATTACAGAAAAATATGTATGTATTATTTTTGACTCAGAAAGGTGCAGATGCCTTTCTGAGTTGCCTTTCCATTTTCGAATGCTATTGACCTCTTCTTTAATCTGTGATATCGCCGAGAAATTATCACAGTTTTGTATAGCTCAGTCATAGGACGGAAGCCGTCTTGATAGCGTTATGTCTCTATTATAAAGGGTCGCAGAATATTTCCTCGATCAGAAATAAAATCTTCGAAGTACATGATTATTATTTTCAAGGAATAAAATCTAATGTGTTAAAAATTTATTTATTTTTCAAACTCAATAGTTAGAATAAAATTCAGATAAATAAAATGTCTGATGCCTCATGTACGTGTGTCAAATGTGCTTTCAACTTAAAATTTAAAAAGACACAGTGCGTGTCTTTTCTTCCTCTGCTAGCGCTTATAATTGAATGAAACCTTGGTTTGGAGATTCATAGTTTGGAATTCTTTGTGCCAGGTTTAATTCAAAGGAAGCTATTTTATATTTGGGAAAAAGTGCACTGCTTCCCGAGAACAAGCTCCGTCACGCTACGAATTTGCACAGACATCGTTTCCGGAACATTATTTCTGCGCCGCCATCTCATCTCTGGCTGCAAATCATATTACATCTTCCTTCTTGGTGAGAGGAAGAGGGGAAGGATTCGGAGAATGAGGAAGAACGGTGGAAGGAGAACGAAATGGGCATGTTCGCAAAGTCATCTGAAACACTGGCATCCGGGGAAAGACAAAACACTCTTCGCGACCCCGAGGTTACCAGCTTTCATAACTCAACGGTTTTCCTGAAAATCTGACTTGCCTGGACTTGTCTCCAGACCCCATAATTGGGAAGTGACAAAGGGGCTATATGTGGAAAATTGTGAATTAAGCCAGTTGTGAGTCATTAACTACACTCGTCCGCCAGCAGGGCATGCCGTTACCTCCGCCCACCTTTCTCACCTCCCCTCTGCTAACTGATCGAGCGATGCGAGTGCGGTGTGTGTGTCAGTAGTAGGGAACGGGGTGGAGCTGGGGTGTGCTGCGTTGCAGTTGTCAGAGAGAAATTTAATTAAATGTGATATTTGTTTGCGTGTCCGATGGCTGTAGAAGGAAAGAGTTAAGTTTGCGAAGCTCTTAATCACCGGAGCATTTTCTACTCAGACGCGGGAAGTTCGGCAGGATTCTAAATAAAGATGAGCTGAGTTCTTTAACTGGTAGTTTGGGAAGTCTTCAGCAGTCTTTTAGGACGTTAGAAATAATTTCTTCTGTCCTAGTATCAAATGATTGTACGTATTTTAGAATTCAATTTGAGGATTTCTACAAATCTGTATTTATAAGTGGTGAAGCGTAAATACAAGGAAAAAAGAGAAGGTATATCTAAATATTTTCTATATAATAAATTCATTTTTTCCTTCTTTAATTCATCATTGCGCGATATAGATAAAAAAAATAACGTAGTGCACTTTTACGTAGATTTCGCGAATTGTAGCAATAATAAAAAATCTGAAGAATCTAAGTAAGTTTATAAATCATGTACGAATCAGTACAAATTCCCATAATAAGGGTAGCAGCTGATGAATATAAGAGTATTAATAAAAAGAAAATAAACATAGAACGCAACATTTATTTATAAAAAAACTAGATTAAATTAAAAAATAAATTTAAAATATTACGTTTGATTTTTATTTTTTGTGCTCAGGTAGTTTCTGGATTTTTCAGTAATTTTGTTACAAATTTTGAACTTATGTAGGATCCCTTGGCTACGAAGCTTTGCTTTCCTATATACATGAGTCTCAGGTAGTCAAATCATGAGTCAGATCTTGTCTCAAATAGAATTTTGCTTCTGAAAAGCAAATTGCATCGCATGTAATTACATACACCACCAACCGTTTATTAAAGCTTTATAGCGTTATTACTTGTCATTTTGTTTTGTTTCAGATATTGCAGATGGATTGAAAAATACCTTGTTTAAAATCTTGGAGAAGGGTTTGGACGTCTGTAAGTGTCTACTTTCTGTGCGGCATAGGGGTATTTAAAATACTGGTGAGCCGAAAGTCCAGGTTTGAGTTTGGTAATAAGATGAAGGCACGTTTAGACATAGCTTCCCCCATCTCATACATGTAAAACCGGTCGAATTCTCTGATGCATCTTGGGCAACATTCTCGATAAGGAGATGACTAAATAACTGATGGTTATTGGCCATATCTGACGAATGTATTGGATGGCAAGTATCTGGCTGTTTTAAATAACAAATGTCCGGATTTTTATATAATGTTCTGCTTAGAAGAGTATCAAAAGCAGCTATTTCCCTTTTGTTTAAAAAGAAATAATATCGTCATTTATACCTCATGGAGCAGTATATTATAAGGAAGTATATCGCATTTCCACACGCGTTCTCTCATTGCTTAACTATTAGTTTGTAAGAAGCTGGTACCGCGATCTAAGGTAGACGCACAACCAAGCCTGACCCCAACTTAAAACCTCCGTGTTAGGCGGTTGTGTCAGGATGGCCGAGCGGTCTAAGGCGCCAGATTTAAGCTCTGGTTCTCGAAAGAGAGCGTGGGTTCGAACCCTACTCCTGACAGTCTGTGTTTTTACACCCTTCTTTCCTGCACGAGAAAAGAATCAGTAATTGTCATAATTTGATCTCGAAAAATATATCTGTTAACTAAAGTAATGTAAATTTTATTAAATTATAAGATTTACAGTTTTTGCGGGTTATATCCCCGCCATATTTTTGAACTGTTTTCGTTTGCACGGACTTTTTAAAAATCATTCTTACATCGCAAAAATTTAAATTGCATGCCTTTAATGTCATTTTTCTTTTTCTCGTCTACGGGTGCAGTGTTTTTGATTTTTAAACACCTTTCTTTTTTGGATTACTGTATCGCCAGGACGGGAGGTGGTTCTGTCAGGCAGAAAAATAGCTCATCGAGAGTTTAGAGATATCACTACACTGTTGCCCCGTCCCACACTTACGGGCGACAGATCAAAACGTATTTTCGTTACTCATGGCTGAACAAGTTGAGCTGGGTGACCACTCCTGGCGAACTGAGATCTGCATGAGGTGCGGCACTAGTTGTCAAAGTGCCCCCCGTCAGTAGTACACGGGCAGCCCCAGACTGCAGGATTGACACGGAATACGGTGCTGTACAACGGACTGGCCGTCGCACCGCTAGAGCTGGAGCAAATCGCATGTATTCGTTACCGAGTAACGGGTACATCGGTTGACTCGAAGTACCGATTCGGTACTCACAAATTCATTTCGTTACTCGCATCTGTTCGTTACTCGCATCTGTCGTATGATGCGGTTTATTCGAGTACGAATGATGCGGTTGCTATTCGAATACGTATGATGCGGTTTCTATGCGAATACGAATGATGCGGTTGCTGTTCGAATACGAATGATACATTTGCTAACAATACCCGTGTGCCACATTTTTCATTGATAATTTCGAATTTTTTTGGTTAACTCATCGGGCAAACTCTTGTTTACCTTATGTGTTTTAGTTGAAATATTGTTTAGTTGTTGATATTTAAGAAAATGATCAATTTTGATAGCGTGAAGCGTTATTTTGTATTTGCTTTTCACATTTAGATTATAGTGCATATTATGTTTGTAATTTGAAAATTATGATTATTGATTTTTTTTCTTGAGCGTGCCATAGGGAGATTTTATTGATTTGAAATATTTATATACTGCACTTAGGTATTGTTTAAATAAGAATATGTAGGTTAATATAAGTTCTTTACTTCCTTGTACGAAATAAAAAGGAAGTAAGTATTGTAATCGAGAAAAATTTTTGGGTATCATATTTCAACGGAAATATCCATTTTTGACGATTACAGAATCCATGTGAATTATTTTTTTTGGATGACGTCTGTACGTACAAACACAATTTTTTTTTTTTTTTTTTCCAGAAACGGATTGTTAAATGTAATCCCATTTACTCTAAGCTGATACTTATGACTAATGATTATGACTCTAAGTTGATACTTGAAAGGGATTTTTTCGTGATGTGTAAGTACGTATATATGCATTTCGCATAACTCAAAAACGATTAGTTCTAGAACGTTGAAATTTTGTATATGGGCCCGTTATAACATCTAGATGTGCACCTCCCTTTTTATTGCAATCGGTAATACTACAAAACGTAAATATGTATATTTTAAATAAATTATAATTAAATGTAAAGTACATATATATATATATATATCCTTATAATTAAATGTAAAGTACACACATATATATATAAATATAAAATAAAAGCCAAGTAAGGCGAAAATAAAAGCCTTGGTTTTTATTTTATTTATTTATCACTAAGTAAGTTACTTGGCTTTTATTATTTTACCAGAGTATAGATAGAAATTTGGTTATGTAGCCTATTCTTCTAAAACGACGTTTCGTCGCTGCCTTCCCCCACCAATTCCCTTTTTTTTTTTTCGGTTTCGGATTATTTGGTTACGGCAATGCACACTAGGGCTATTGCCTAAGGGAAGGGATGCCTTCGTGGAGGACTTTTTAAAGGAAACTGGCTCATATGCAAGTTACACATGGGGAAAGCCACGAAAACGCCCGTGCAGCCAGCCGTTAGCCGGGAATTGAACCCCGAAACGAACTATTAGTCTTCAGCGACTTTACCGCTCGAGCGCTGGTGGGCTCTTCGCTGTTTGCAAAATAGGTGTTCACTTTACGATAAAGCAAGCACCTGTTTTCTTCAATTAAAACAGGTTAGACGATATGACTCTTACTACTTCATTCTCACTTAGCTTTTGATTTCTAATATTGATTCAATATTTTCTGTAGACATTCTGATTAGAATAATGGATTTCAAACATGTGCAAAAGGTGTGTATCTGAATATAATTAGGTTTTTATAACATAGGGCCCATTTTATTAATTTCTAAAGCAATATTATCGCTGTTTAGAACCACATTATCGCTGTTTTGAAAGAAAGCAAAAATGTGACAAATGTATAATGAACATTAATATACATGCTTTACTAGAAATTCACCCTTTCGTCATTAGCGGTTCTGATGAAAGGAATGGGGAGAAGCAGCAAACGAAATAACGAATAACGGACAAATAACGAAATCTAATCTTTAATGCCGTCTCCCAGTTTCTTTAGCCCACCAGCGGTCGAGCGGTAACGTCGTTGAACACTGGTAGTTCGGTCTGAGGTTCGAATCCCGCGAACGGGCTGGCTGCATGGGTGTTTTCGTGGTTTTCCCCATGTGTAAAGTGTATACCAGCCATTTCCCTTAGAAAGTCCTCCACGAAGGCATCCCTCCCTTTAGGCAGATAGCCCTAGTGTGCTTTGCCATAATTAAATACACCAACACCAACCCAGTTTCTTTATTTGTATTTGGGAAAGTTTTATTGTCATTATGAAAAGTGAAATTTGATATGGATACCGCATAACTTTTTAAATTATGCTTATTTTTGCTGCACTTCATTTAAATTTATTTCCTCGAATTATTCTAACTTAATTAAGCGATACCCGAAGGCAAGTTACAAATGGCATCAAACACTGCAAATTTTGAAATTAAATTTCCCGGTCAATCTCTGTCTACGGGACTCAAACTTCTTGTATTTTTATTTTTTTTTATATAACGAGTATAAAACTTTGCCAGCTATAAATATAGGAACCAGAAGACAACATTAAAAGTTAGATTTCATAATTTGTCCAAAATTAATTCTTTTTACATTGACAAAATATGAATATTTTCGTCATTTAAAATACTTCTGTATTTTTGTTGCACCGTATTTAAACTTGCTTCTTCGAGTTATTGACATTAAATTACATTAATTCCGTTATCTATTAGAAAATAATTATAGCA